GCATTCGAGACTCCTCTTTGCGACGCTGGTGTCGTTCTCCTCTGCCCTCCAGTCGTTTCTCCTTGGGTTTTTTGGGGGCCCTCTTGTGTCCCTCTTCGGGCCGTCCTGGGGGCCCCTCTTTTGTTCTCCCTCTTGGATTCCGCTGTCTAGGCCCTCTCAGCGCCTTCTCAGGGCCTTGGCGCTGCCTGTTGTCGAGCTTAGTTTCTGCAGGAACTCGCGGTCCTGGTGGACGGCACAATCGTGATGTTAAGTCGGGCACGTCCCTCTACAGCAGGAATGTTCAAAAATAGTCAACAAAATTGTATGGGGATGATTTTTTTGAGTTTTTATCTGTTTGACAATTTGGGGTATGTTTTAATTTTTGCCGAAAATTCGCCTGTAGGGGGACATGCCCGACCTAAACGTATTGTCGCCTTGGAAGAGCTGGTGGCACCGCGTAAGGTATGCAGTCTCTTGGCCTTGGCAGCGCTTGCCCAGCGTAGGTTACCAGGGACCGCGGCCTCGTGTGCGCGGATTCTCCACCATTTTCGAGGGATCGGATCCCTTGGACCGAGGATCCAGTGCAATTGGTATGTGATCTTGGCTCCTGGCGTGCGGACCCCGTGTAGTACACATGTAGTACCACGCTTCGGGTGATCAGGAAATTGTGCGTGTATGGTACAGTGTCCGGCTTGCCGCCGTCGGATCATATTCACTACATATATATACATATATATATATACACAAGACTGCAGTGAAGCTTCGCGCCATGCACCTTGGTCCTTGAAGTTTGGTATGCAGGCGGAATAGCAGGAAGGTCAAGCCGACACTTTGGCGATAACTCCTGGTTGCCTTTTCTGGCATCGCCGCTATAGTAATGCTATTCGTTATCCTTCCTCCATGCTTCTTTTTTCTTACTTTCGCCATGCCCTGCGCATTCTCCCCGTCCTCCTCAGCTCTTTTTTGCGGAGGCTCCTCCTTGGAGAGCCTCTAGGGGCCTCACAAAAGTTGTTTCAGGCTTTCTTAAGGCCTTCTGGAGACCTACTGGGCGTATTCTGGGGGCGTCCGGGGGCTTCCTCGGGCCACCCTGCCTCCAACCGCGGTCTCCCTGAACGACCGAATCACGATTTGGAATTCTTCGGGGGGTGTCTTTGGGCCATCTTGGGCCGCCATGGGGCTCTCTGAGGGCCATCTTGGACCCGTGTTGTGCCGTTTTGGGGCTCTCTTGGACTGCCTGGAAGCCCCTTCGGATGGTTGTGGGGCGATTTGGGAGCCTCCCAGGCGGCTTCGGACGCCCAGAAGACCGCCGTCTTGGAGCGTCGGGAAGCCGAAAAGAGGAGAACCCTAAAATTCAGCCAAAACCCACAGAACATCAATGTTTTTTGCCTCGGGGGGCCTTCTTGGGAGTGCTCTTGGAGGCCTCTTTGGGGCCGTCCTGGAGGCATCTTGGGCCATCTTGAGGTCACGTCGGTCACTCTTGGAGCGCTCTTGTGCTGTCTTGGGGGTCTCTGGGACGTCTCCGATGACCCCCCTGATCGCCCTAGGTGTGCTGGGAAGGTTTGGCAAAACGCCATGTGAGGCCCGGTGGCCGCTTCGAGGCCCGTCTGGAGGGTCCCAAAGCCCCAGATCCCGGGAGTCCGGTTTTTTTTTTGGGGGGGGGACGGGTTTTCCCCCCGCCCGGTCTTATAGAAATATAGGAAGAGGAATATGTATGTATCGAAGACGCCTACGGCGAATCACCGCTGCCCGCTGCCTTTTTGGAAGCGCCTATGTGGCCGTACGTTGAGGCCAGACCTACCAAGCCATCGGACCATGTGTTCCCCGAATCGGTTTGGAAAGCCTTCGGGGAACACGTGGGCATCTTGAGGTCATCTTGGCCGTCTTGGAGGCCTCTTGCGCGATCTTTCGGCGATCTTTGGGGGCTCTTGGGCTGTCTCGGGCCGTCGGAATCCGAAAAGAAGGAAATGTCAACATCCTTCAAAAACCTGAGGCATATCAATGTTTTTGGCCTCTTCTTGCCTTCCTGGAGGCCCTCTTGGGGGCCTCTTGGACCGTCTTGGGCCAGCTTCGAGCCAACTTCGGCCATCTTGGTGGGTTCCTGGCACGTCTGACGCCGTCGGGAGCCATCTTGGGGGCCTTTCTGGGCCAACGCGGGGGCCCTCTTGGGGCGCTTCGGGGCCCTGTTTGGAGACCATCTTGGGCGTCTTGGATGTCATCCTGGGCGTGCTGGAGGCCTCTTGGGCCGCCTTGGGGCCGTCTTGGGGACCTCTTGGGCTGTCATGGGGCCATCTTGGAGGCCTCTTGGGCGATCTTGGGACGACTTTGGGAGCCTCTTGGGCCGTCTCGGGCCGTCGGAAAGCTGAACATGCGCAAATGGCAGAATCCTCCAAAAACCTAAGGAAAACCAATGATGTTGGCCTCTTCGGGCCTTCCTGGAGGACCTCTTGGAGGCCTCTTTGGCCCGTCTTGGAGGCCTCTTGGGGGTGTCTTGGGCCTTGGAGGCCTCTTGGGAGCCTCTTGGGCCATTTTGGGCTATCTTGAGGCAATCTTAGGCGGTCTTGGGTGCATCTTGGGCCGTCTTAGCCGCCTTGGAGGCCTTGGCCGTCTTGGAGGCATCTTGGAGGCCATCTTCGGCCATCTTGAGCTAAAAATCCGACGAGATTGGGGAATTGAGCGCCTTCTGGGTGGCCGGCGGGACGGGCCGAAGCCCCAGGGGGAGTTTTTTTTGGAAAAAGAACCAACACCAAAACCTAGAGGGTTCAGCACGCCAGGCACCCCTGCGATGAATCGACAGGGGGCGGCGGATCGAATGGCCGTCGGCCCATCCCGCCACCGTGCCCGGGTTGTTGCATGAAGCCTATTTGATGTTCGTTGGGATATCGTGGGGGGCCTTTCGGGGGCCTCTTGGAGGCAGTTTTGTGAAGCCTCTTTGGGGCCGTTGTTGGGGCCTCTTGGGAACCGTTTTGTGGCCTTGTGGAAGCCTCCTGGGAGCCCGTCGGGGCCTCTCTGGGTCCTCTTCGGGGCCTCTTGCGGCTTGGCCTGTGGGGAGGCCCAAGAGGCCTGTTGGGAGGCCCAGGAGGCTTGTCGGGAGGCCCACGAGGCCTCTCGGGAGGCCCACGATGCTTGTCGGGAGGCCCAAAGGGGCTTGTCGGGAGGCCCAGGAGGCCGCTCGGGAGGCCCGGCGGGCCTCTGGGAGGCCCAAGAGGTTTGTCGGAAGGCCCACGAGGCCTGTTCGGAAGGTCCGAGAGGCCCGCCGGGAGGGACCACGAGGCCATTCGGGTGGCCCGAGGTCGGCACGCCCAAGGGGCCCCCTCGTCAGGCCCAGGGAGCGCGCCGTAGCAATTCTTACTGTCAGAGCGGAGGATCTCGAAACTTGCTTCCGGGGGTTGAACCCTTCTGCCAGGGATTACCTTTGTCTTCCCCCCTCCCCCCCCCTGGGCTCCCCCGTCGGCCCCTCCCCCGCCCGTTCGCGGTGTTGAATCGCACGGCAGCGCAGCTGGATATGTCGACCTGCCAGTTCTAGAGTCATGTTATTCAATGGTCGAACTATCGATCTCGCAACATACCAGTGCCACTGCCACTCGGATACCGGTTGATCCCTTACCAATACATTCGACACACACGCATATGTTTTGTGTAGTCACCTGCCGACATCACAATCGATCCATCCTTGGGTATCCCGACCTGCATGTGTTGCTATATGTTTGAATGGCTTCCTCTTCCATGTATAGCAACTTTGCTACACATGTGTGTATCGGACTGTCTAGGCGTTCGCATGTATACATCACATATATATACATGTATAGATATATGCAAGTACAAACATGTATAGAGAGACGAGACAAGCACGCAACAACGAAAGTACAACCACGGGGCACCCGCGGGACAATCACGGGACAACCGCAGGAAGACCGCGTGACGGCCCACGGGACAGCCACGGGACAGCCACGGGAAAACCACGCCACAACCGCGGACGGACCAATCACGGCACGACCGCGGGCTCGGAACCGTCATGGAACAGCCAGGGGACAGGGCCAGAACCACCGCGGGAGAGCCACGGGCCAACCAGATGACAGTTGCGGGAACACCCGTCGAGACAATTGTGCGGGACAACTCCTCCTCCTCCTCCTCCTCCTCCCACGGAGCAACCACGGGACAACCACGGGACCAAGTCGTCGCAAGCACGGGTCAATCACGGGATAACCATGGGAGAACCGTAGCACACAACCACGGGACAACCACGGGGCAACGGCAGGGCAACCACGGGACAAGTCCGCGGCGTTTTTGGGACAACCGCGGAACAACCGAGGGACAACCGCAGGGGACGCTCACGAAGCAACCACGGGAGAACCAGGGGACATTCAGGGGTCAATTTGGGAACAACCACGGGACAACCATGGGGCAACCGCGAGGCAATTCCTGCACAATTTCGGGACAACCACGGGGCACCACATAACAACAATGGAACAACACCGCGAGACAACCACGGGGCAGCCGCTGGACAAACACGGGACATCCACGGGACAAGCCGCGATTCACCGCCCGCAGATGGGGAGCATCAAATGATGGCACCCCGCCATGGCAAGGTCTGGATTTTCGTCGCCTTCGCGCAGCTTCGCCTCGCCCGCACGCGCGTCACGCACGACATGAGCCGACACCGAAACCGACTTCCCGAATAGGGGACTCCATTTCTCTTTGTTCCCCCCCTAAGTATGTTTAGAGGTTTGGCCCTTCTGAAGTGCGGGCCCACTGCAACTTCAAAGGATCGTTGCCCTGGGAGCGCGGATCGATCCCGTTTTCAATTTACGATGGGTCGTGGCCACGGGCGCACGGACTCTTGGCAATTTACGAGGGTGTGTGGATTCGTTGGGGCACGAATCTTGGGATTCCCTCAGGAGATGGGGGGCTTTAGGGCGCTTTGGTGTTTGGGGGGACTTGAAAAGGGGCGGCATACACCACTGCTAGATCCAATCCCTCATGAGGCAATGCGGCGTGATCTTCTCAGCATGGAGGCCCCACAGACGGGCCGCTGGATATCTCCACCTGGTGGAATACGACCTGAGGACATTCGCGACACCCTGACCAACAGCTCGATGCTTGGCGACCGCGTTGCCTCTGGAATAGAATCTGTGAGCCAGGGCAGCATCGGCACGAAGGCGGCAGGCGGAAGCACGGTCAAAGTAAGGCCCTTCACCGTGCCCTTCCTGAGAGACCGGGATCCAGGTCTGAATTTTGTGATGGCCGCATCGCTGGCAGCTGGCATATTGGCCGTGCTCTCCGCGCTGCTGGTCTACAAGTGTACGGGCAGCCACACTTTTTCGACGGCTCGCACGAGATTCTTCGGCACCACCGAGGAGGAAGACAGTCGGGCCCGCCGGGCCAACGTGCTCTTCTGCTGCGCGACAAAGAAGGAGCACAACCATGCCAATACTTCTGGCTGGTCCAGAAGGTCCCGTGCTTGGTGACAGCGTGGCAGGGAACGGCACGCTGTCGTCTTCCAGCCGCCTTTTGATCGGTATGCGCTTGCGGGATCCGCTAGAATCAAGGGGCAGCAAAGGCAGCGGTTTTGCTGTTAAGCGTGGGGACGTCCACCCTCCTAAGGAGGCCACTGTGTGCAATGTTGGGTCTGCCAGGAGCCGGGGGCCCCGAAACGGTGTGGTGACTACACCGTGTGGCGAGTCAGTGGGGATTCGGACTGACCGCACGGTTATCTTTCTCGGGTCGTTTTCCGAGGACGTCTCGGGCGATTGGGGCCTCCGAGATCCCCAAACCGTGCCATGACGGACTGTGTGGCAAGGTTTTTGGGCCCACTGGGGATTCCGATGTCGCGGCACGGCCTGTTACCACCCATGCCGTTCTGGGACCCTTAGCGGAGACCCCGCCCTCTCTCCCTGCAGGTGTCCGCGAGTTGCGTTTCACGCTTGCTTGCCTTCCGCGTCTGCCGTCCCGCCAGTGTCGGGCATTCTTCCCGCGGTCAAGGGGTTGCGCCTCGTAGTGGAATTGCCGTCGTTGTGCTGAACAAGAGGCGCAGGCACAGGCACGAGCACAACACACAGACACACGCACACACACGAACACACACACACACTCACACACACGCACACGCACACAACACAACACAACACAACACAACACAGCGCAGCGCAGCGCAGCACAACACACCACAACACAACACAACACAACACACCACACCACACCACACCGCGCCAGACCAGACCACACCACACCACACCACGCACACGCACACGCACACGCACACACCCACACACACACACACACGCGCACGCGCACGCGCACGCGCACGCGCACGCGCACACGCACACGCACACGCACGAGTACACGCACACGCACGAGCACACGCACGAGCACACGCACACGCACACGCACATGCACACTCACACGCACCCGCACCCCCACCCGCACCCGCACCCGCACCCGCACGCGCACCCGCACCCGCACCCACACGCGCACACCCACACACATCCACACGCGCACCCACACGCGCACCCACACGCGCACCCACACGCGCACCCACACGCGCACCCACACACACCCACACACACACCCACACACACACAAACACACCCAACCACACACACACCCACACACCCACGCACACCCACACGCACCCACACGCACCCACACGCTCACCCACACACACCCACACACACCCACACACACACACCCACACACACCCACACACCCACACACACACCCACACACACACCCACACACACTCACACACGCCCACACACCCACACACACACATATCCATGCACACACCCACACACACCCACACACTCCCGCACACACCCACACAGACCCACACAGACCCACACACACCCACACAGACCCACACACACCCACTCACACCCACACACACACCCACACAGACCCACACACACACCCACACACACCCACACACACACACACCCACACGCACCCACACACACACACACCCACACACACCCACACACACCCATACACACCCACACACACCCACACACACACACACCCACACACACATACACACCCACACACAGCAACACCCACGCACTCACACACCCACACACCCACACACCCACACGCCCACACGCCCACACGCCCACACGCTCACACGCCCACGCCCACACGCCCACAGGCCCACACGCGCACACGCGCACACGCGCACACGCGCACACGCGCACACGCGCACACGCGCACACGCGCACACGCCCACATGCGCACACGCGCACACGCGCACACGCGCACACGCGCACACGCGCACACGCGCACACGCGCACACGCGCACACGCGCACACGCGCGCACGCGCGCACGCGCACACGCGCACGCCCGCACACGCGCACGCCCGCACACGCGCACGCCCGCACACGGTTACTCGCGCACACGCGCGCACGCGCACACACGCACACACGCACACGCGCACACGCGCACACGCGCACACGCGCACACGCGCGCACGCGCGCGCATGTGCGCGCGTGCGTGTTGGCAGGTTTTCTTCTCAACATCGTCTTTCTTGTCGTCGACGATGCGAAACGCGTGGGAGGAATGGGACGCGGCGCACATCGTGCGCGGCAGTCAATCTGGGCCCGCCCATCCTGACTTTAAAGAATCAATGCAACTTCTTCGTTTTTTCCTCTCAGCATGCCTTGCCTTGTCGCCGACGGTGCGAAATATGTGGCAGCAGTGGGACGTGGCGCGCATATGGGACGCGGCGCACATCGCGCGCGGCCGTCAATCCGGGCCCGCCCATCCTGACTGTAAAATATCCATACAAAGTCTCCGTTTTCTCCTCTCAGCATGGCCTGCCTTGTCGCCGACGGTGCGAAATATGTGGCAGGAATGGGACGCGGCGCGCATCGCGCGCGGACGACCATGCGGGCCGCGGGCCCTCCCATCCTGACTGTAATACAATGCCGAGTTGCCGTTTTTCCTTTCATCATGGCCTGTATTGTCGTCGACGGTGCGAAATGCGTGGCAGGAATGGGGCGCGGCGCACATCGCGCGCGGACTTCTGGGGCAATCCCAAGGCGGGAGGGGCCAGCTTGCTTGTCAGAAACAATGCCATGCTGATTTTCCGTGCCCACATAGCTGTTCTTGTCGCCCACCCCGCAAAAGTGCATGGCAAGAATTGGGCGCGGCCCCCCCCCCCGCTCGAAGTGAATGAAATGACATTCCCGCTTGGGCGCCGAGCGAAATTTTCTCAAAGTTGCGCTCCCGCTTTGGCTCGGCGCACGTTTTTAGCTCGCCAATTCATTGGGCGCCGGGGCGTTCCAGGAGGCCCTGGGGTGACGAATGCCTGGGTGTCCAGGCTCTTGGAGGGCCTCCTGAGGCTCCCCGCGGTTTCTTGGCGGTGTCTGCGGCCGTCTGGAGGCCATCTTGGGCGTCTTGGAACGATCTTTCGGCGACTCAAGGCCCCTCGGATTGTCTCGGGGGCGTCTCGGCTCTCCTGGGGTGTTCCTGGGGCGCTCTGGGACCTGGAAGTCAGCGCTCTGGGACCTGCGACATTGAAATGCCCGCGCAGCCCCCAGTTGTGCCATCACTGTTTCTTATGTTGTGGGAGGGCGGGTGGGAATGGGCATGCCATGCTTGACTCGCTCGAGCTGGCTAGCTTGACCCACACACACCCGCACACACCCACACAGACCCACACGCACCCACACGCTCACCCACACACACACACACACACACGCACACGCACACGCACACGCACACGCACACGCACACGCACACGCACACGCACACGCACACGCACACGCACACGCACACGCACACGCACACGCACACGCACACACACACACACACACCTACACCTATACACCTACACCTATACACCCACACCTACACACCCACACCTACACCTACACCCACACCTACACCTACACCTACACCTACACCTACACCTACACCTACACCTACACCTACACCTACACCCACACAGACCCACACACCCACACACACCCACACACACACACACACCCCCCACACACACACACACACACACACACACACACACACACACACACACACACACACACACACACACACACACACACACACACACACACACACACACACACACACACACACACACACACACACACACACACACACACACACACACACACACACACACACACACACACACACACACACTCCTAGGACACCAGCCACACATCACAACCACCCACAAAACACACACACACCCACACACACCACACAACACACACACACACACACACACACACACACACAACACACCCACACACACACACCACACACACACACACACACCCCACACACGCACGCACCACGCACGCAAGAACGGCACGCACGCACGCACGCACGTCAAGCACGCACGCACCCATCCACGCACGCACGCACGCACGCACGCACCACCACGGCACGACGCACGCAACGTCACTCACGCACGCGCGCACGCACGCACGCACGCACGCCGCACGCACGCGCCGGGCGCCGCGCGACAACTCACAGGACAACACACACCTACCGCCTACACCTACACCTACACCTACACCTATACCTATACCTATACAACTAACACCTATAAACCCACACATACACCCCACACCCACATCTACATCTACACCTACACCTACAACTACACCTACACCTACACCTACACCTACACCTACACCTACACCTACACCTACACCTACACCTACACCTACACCTACACCTGCACCTGCACCTGCACCTGCACCTGCACCTGCACCTGCACCTGCACCTGCACCTGCACCTGCACCTGCACCTGCACCTGCACCACCTGCACCACCTGCACCACCTGCACCACCTGCACCACCTGCACCATCTGCACCACCTGCACCACCTGCACCACCTGCACCACCTGCACCACCTGCACCACCTGCACCACCTGCACCACCTGCACCACCTGCACCACCTGCACCACCTGCACCACCTGCACCTACACCTGCACCTACACCTGCACCTACACCTGCACCTACACCTGCACCTACACCTGCACCTACACCTGCACCTACACCTGCACCTACACCTGCACCTACACCTGCACCTACACCTGCACCTACACCTGCACCTACACCTGCACCTACACCTGCACCTACACCTGCACTACACCCTGCACCTACACCTGCACTAACACTGCACCTACACCTGCCACCTACACTGCAACATCACCTACACCTGCACCTACACCGGCACCTACACCTGCACTACACCTGCACCACACATGCACCTACACCTGCACCTACACCTGCACCTACACCTGCACCTACACCTGCACCTACACCTGCACACCTGCACACCTGCACCTACACCTGCACCTACACCTGCACCTACACCTGCACCTCACCTGCACCTACCCCTGCACACCTGCACCTACACCTGCACCTACACCTGCACCTACACCTGCACCTACACCTGCACCTACACCTGCACCTACACCTGCACCTACACTACACCTGCACACCTACCTACACCTACCTACACCTACACCTACACCTACACCTACCTACACCTACACCTACACCTACACCTACACACCTACACCTACACCTACACCTACACCTACACCTACACCTACACCTACACCTACACCTACACCTACACCTACACCTACACCTACACCTACACCTACACATGCACATGCACATGCACATGCACATGCACATGCACATGCACATACACATACACATACACATACACATACACATACACATACACATACACATACACACACATACGCATACACATGCACATACACATGCACATGCACATACACATACTCATACACGTACACATACACATACACATACACATACACATACACATACACATACACATACACATACACATACACATACACATACACACACATACACACATACACATACACATAGACATACACACACACTCACACACACACACCCACACACACACCAACACCCACGCACTCACACACCCACACACCCACACACCCACACGCCCACACGCCCACACGCCCACACGCTCACACGCCCACGCCCACACGCCCACACGCCCACAAATCTACAAACCCACGCGCCCACACGCCCACACGCCCACACGCGCACACGCGCACACGCGCACACGCGCACACGCGCACACGCGCACACGCGCACACGCGCACACGCGCACACGCGCACACGCGCACACGCGCACACGCGCACACGCGCGCACGCGCACGCGCACACGCGCACGCCCGCACACGCGCACGCCCGCACACGCGCACGCCCGCACCCGCGCACGCCCGCACCCGCGCACGCCCGCACACGCGCACTCGCGCACTCGTGCGCACGCGCACACGCGCACACGCGCACTTGCGCACACGCGCACACGCGCACACGCGCGCACGCGCGCACACGCGCGCACGCGCGCACGTGCGCGCGTGCGTGTTGGCAGGTTTTGCTCATTTGCTCGTGTTGAGAACCGACGTGTTCGCAGGTTTTGGCCCCAGGTGCGCGGTCTCGAAGAGTCGCTTGCCGTGCCCAGGGATGCTTTACCCTCCCAGCCCGCAGCCCGCAACACCGCGCTGGGTGTGTGTGTGTGTGTGTGTTGAAGGCGGGGGCGTCGTCGGTTACTCTCCTCCGTGTCCGCTTTCCTTCCGATCGGGGGGGGGGCAGGGTGGGCGCCCTCTCCCTCCCTCCTCCTCCCCCCTCAGAGGTCGGCCAGGATTTTGGGTCCCGGGCCGATCTCGCTCCTCCCGCTTGTGTCCTACTGAAAGTGGCAGGGGGGGGTCCGTCACGAGGCCGTGGCGTTCTTCCGCGGCGACCTGTGGTTCCACGAGCTGCACGTCAGGTGCCCCGCGCTGAACGCGGCCCTGTCAAATCACGTCTTGCCACGTACTCGCCACCGATCTTGGCCAAGCCGTTCCCGAGCATAGATTTTGTGAGCACAGTCATCCCGCATAGTAAGGACGGGCAACCTTCCCAAGGGCAGCCTTGCATCCTTGCCTCCTCGACCGATCTTTCGCCACTTCCGTTGGCCGCGCCCCGCTCGAAGAGCTTCGATACGGCAAGGACCCCTGCACCCTCATCGCGCATCCTTCTGATACGGGCCGAGCGTACGCCTTCCTGGCTGCGCCAGGGCGTACACACCGACCCTTAGCCCAGGGCTGGCCTGGCCGTGATCGGTGTGCCCAGTCCTCCGACGTCGCGAGCCTTACACGACGGGGACCGCGGGGCTCTCGACCCCATCCTTTGGCAACTTGCTTTTCCTCGCGTGAACCTGGCATCTTCAGGCGGCCCGAGGTCGCGAATGCGCCCGTCGTGGCGCGATGTGTTCGCGGCGCCCAGGGGTCTGGCTTGGCTGCGTCCATCCATGGCCGCTTCCTCAGACTTTAGAGGGAGTTTGGCTTTCTAGCCTTTTCCAGCTTCCCGCGCTCTGACGGCCCTAGGGGCCCCCAAGGTCGCCCCAGGACGGCCCAAGGGGCGCCCAAGAGGGCTCGCTCCCAGGCGGCCAAGAAGGGCCCCAGCCCAGTAGGCAGCCTCAAGAGGGCCCCAATATGGGGAACTCGCACTGACATTTCGCACTCTCCGCCCGAGGATGACCCCGAGACTGCCAGCAGGCCCCCAAGTGGCCCCCCAGAAGTCCCAGGAGGCCTCCACGAGGCCCAAATCAGGCCTTCAAGATGCCCTCAAAGGCTCCAAGGCACCCCCAAAAGCGCCTCCAAGAGGCTTCCGCGAGGCCTTCCGAATGGCCCAAAAACTTTGGATGATTTGGCCGTTTCGAATTTTCCGTGGCGACGGATATCTGAGCCCCCTCTGTCCTGGCAGCTGGCGCGAGGTCTCCCAGCCCCCCGACGTCGCGATAATCGTGGTAAAGTTGATCCGACCCCGATGTTTCGACCCGTTCCCCAGGACAGTTGTTTCACCCCGAGTTGGTTTTGGGCGGCCTCGACCGGTGAGGTGCCCCAGATGCCGAACATCACAACCTGATATTTCCCGTATTGTTTTTCGAGCTGCGGGGGCTCTGGGTTTTGAGGTCAGGGATAGCTGGCGGCTGGCGCGAAGCTTCGCGGCTTGGGTCCGGGTTCGGATGGGGCCAGGTGTTTTCAAGATCCCGTGCAGGAGAGTGTGCCCCGGTGTGTGTGTGTGTGTGTGTGTGTGTGTGAGAGTTCGATCGGTTTTTGCACTGAGCCGCCCAAACAGATGCCCCCCAGCCGCCGGCAGCTCCCGATAGTTGCCGATAGGTTGGGCATGCGCGGGGCATCAGTTTGCGGCAGTTCGGTGCACCAGCGGATCGAAGTCACGCGCCCCTTCAGCGTCACCCCCTCTTTTCTGGTGGATCTCGATAGACGCCGCCGATCCTGGCCAGGCACACCCTTGGCCAAGGAAGAATCCCTGTACACGCCTTCCTGGCAAAGCCAGAAGGGCGGCCAGGGACAGGCGTGGCCAGGATCGGTGCAGGTGTAAACAGTTGGCATCGTCCTTGGCAAGCTCGGCAGACAAGAATCGAGCTCGGGGCCCGCCGCATTTGTCGGGTAGTCAGTTGTCTTTCCTCTCCCTCCCGCCTACTCTCCTTCCCCCCTCCCTCTCCCCCCTCTCCCCCCTCCCTCTCCCCCCTCCCTCCCCATCCTCCCTTTCCACGAGTAAACATTCTGAATACTACTCTCCTCTCTCCCCTGGTGGCGTCCGGGAAATGTTAGGCCCCCCTCCGCGTATAGTTTTCTTGGTACAGCAGGATTCCTGGGATGCGGGCTTTCGCTTTTTGTTTTTGTTGGTATCTTATGTATAATAAATGCTGCTCCCGCTGCAGCGCTGGCCTCATTTCCGCGCTTTCCGCTCGTTCCGAATCGTGCTCCCGCTGCAGCGTTGGCGTCATTAGTTCTAGCGCCATGCCACAGCATGATCTTCGGTCCTTCCAAATAGGCCCCAAAAGTTAGAAAATGGCTTCCCGAAGGAAGCAGTGGAAGTAACAACACATTCGGTGTCGAATTGATGATTTTTGGCCGCAGAAGCCCCCCCCCTCCCCCCACTTTCGGGCGTCGCCGCGCCATGCTATGTCAGGCTACGCGTTCTCATTCCCGCGCTTCCGCGCTTGGTGCTTTTTTGTTTCAAAACGCTGCTCTTTCTGAAGCGCTGGCCTCATTTTCGGGCTACCGCTCGTTCCGAATCGTGCTCCCGCTGCAGCGCTGGCCTCATTTCCGTGCTTCGTTCGTTCCGAATCGTGCTCCCGCTGCAGCGTTGGCGTCACCATTCCCAGCGCCATACCACTGCATTGTTTTCCTTCATTCGAAATGGCCCAAACATCTAGAACATGCCCCCACGAAAACACCATAGGAAGTGATTACACATGCGGTGTCGATTCGTTGATTTGTTGGGCCGCAGAATCTTATGAGACGTCACCACGCCATGCTATGTCAGGCTGCATGCGTGCGTCTGTGTGTGCGTATGTATGTGCGTGCGTGCGTGCGTGCGTGTGTGTGTGTGTGTGTGCACGCGCGTGCACATGCGTACGTGCGCGCGCGTGTGTGTGTTTGTGTGTGTGTATATGAGTATGTATGTATGTATTTATGTATGCATGCATGTATGTATGTATGCATGCATGTCTGTCTGTCTGTCTGTCTGTCTGTATGTATGTATGTCTGTATGGCTGTGTGTATGCATGTATGTATGTATGCTGCATGCATGCAGGCATGTATGTCTGTATGTATGTATGTAATGTAATGTAGTGTAGTGTAATGTAATGTAACGTAATGTAATGTAATGTAATGTGGTGTAATGTATTGTAATGTAAAGAAATCTAGTGTATTGTAATGTAATGTAATGTAAAGTAATGTATTGGAGTGTACTGCAATGTAAAGGGATGGAATGTAATGTAATATACTGCAATGGAATGGAATGTCATGTACTGTAATGTAATGTATGTATGCATGTATGTATGTATGTGTGTATGTATGTATGTATGTTTGTATGTATGCATGTATGTATGTGTGTATGTATGTGTATGTGGCTGTATGTTTATATTGCGTATGTGTGTATGTATGCATGCATGTATGCATTCATGTATGCATGTTTGTATGTATATATCTATATAAATGTATGTATATCTGTATGCGTGTGTACGTGTGCATATGTGTGTACGCATGTATGTAATTATGTGTGCGTGTGTATGTGCGTTCATACACACACATATATATATATACACACATATATATATATGTATATACATATATATATACATGTATATAAATATATGTATATATATGTATATGTATATATATATATACATACACACAAATGTATCCCTGGGGGGCAGGCCCGGGGCCCACAAACAGGTGCCCCGAGCCCCGATGGCAGGACGGGGCGGCTGGGGAGGTCAACAATAGTCTAGGAGGGCCTCCAGAGACTCCCCAGACGGTCCAAGCGGGCCCCGAGTCGCCGAACGACCGCTCCAGGGCGCCCAAGGCAGGCCCAAGACGGCCCGAGAGGCCCCCCAAGGCACTCCACGACGCTTCAAGGCGCCTCTCCAGAGCGCTTCAAGAGGCCGACATCGCAAATCTTATGGAGGTTTTGGAGCGATTTTGGCATTCCAGCCTTTTCGGCTGTCCGACGTTCCAAGACTGCTCAATAAGCCCCCAAGAGCGCCCCAAGACGTCCCAAGAGGGCCCCAAAGCGGCCCCAGAGGCGCCCAAGACAGCCCAAGAGAGCCCCAAAACGGCTCCAAGATGCGCCCAAGAGGGGGACCACGGCTGCAAAATTCGACCCTCCCGCTTGAAGAGTGCCCCAGGAGGCCCCAAGGGCCCCAGGAGCACCCAGGAGGCCCAAACAAGGCCTCAAGAGGCCACAAAACAGCCCCGAGGAGCCCCACAACGGTCCCAAAACGGCTACCGAGAAGCTACCATCAGGCCCCTCCAGGCCCGCAGAGACGGGCGGCCCCCCCCAGCCACATGACTTGGTCGGTCCTCGGGTCGCAGCGTGTCGTGCCGCCACGACCGCGCTCCCTCGGCGGGCCGATCCTCCTCTTCCTCCCCTTCCTTTACCTCCTCCTCCTCCTCCTCCTCCTCCTGCTCCTCCTTCTCAGTCTCCTCCTCCTGCTCCTCCTCATCTTCCTCCTCCTCCTCCTCCTCCTCCTTTTCCTCTTCTTCTTCTTCTTCTTCCTCCTCCGCCTCCTCCTCCTTCTCGTCCTCTTTTTCCGCCAACGAACGTCTCAGGATGCAGAGCCGTCCCTGGGGAAAGGGTCGGGACTTCGGGGGCCGCGTATTGACGAAATCCGGACGGCGCATGTCTGTGATATGCACGTCCCAGTTCCCCCGCGTCAGCGTCCCGGGCTTTCCGAAGCAACCCGCGCCGTGGATCGCAGCGACACGCTATCCACTCGCGTGGGCCGTAGCGTGTTGCCAGGGCCGCCGTCGCGACATGCGAATGAAACGTTACCAGCCGTAGTCTCTGAGGTGTGGGGGAGGGGGGGGGGGGGTCAGGGCCTAAGCTGGGCCCCGCTTTGGAGCCTGACCCCCTCCCCTATCGGGTGCTTTAATCGTGCTCCGCCTCGGGTTTCTATGTTTCACGTGGTACCGCCGTGGAGCCCTGGGTTTTTGGTCCTGGGCTGAAGGCCGCGGACCGTCCCTTGGGAGAGTTCCTGCGTGGACGTCGGCTGTGGTAGGGTTTCACGAGACCCACCGCTCTGTCGCTCGTTGAGGACACTGAGGAGACGAGGAACGCTGCGAGCCACGTCGCTCAGAGACTGGCCACTGCAAGACCCAGGCATCTGGCGCTCCAGTTTTTCTGATGCGTGGACCCCCACAGGTCTGGCCACCTTCCCTACGGCCTGTTTTTCAGCGTGAGTCTTTTTTTGACAGTCCCGGGGCCCGTTGATGGCCCCCTGAGGTCGACAACGGCCAAACTCCCGTGCGCCCGCGCAACCCGCCGCTTTTGTCCGCCCCTCGCCGTCCTCGACCTCGGCCTCTGCCGCTTTGGGCGAGCCCTAGCTGACGAAAGATGACCGCCGACAAATCGCCAGAGCAACCATTATTCAAAGAGGCTCCAATAGGCCCCGAACAGGCCCCCAGGAAGCCCCAACCTCCAGTCCCAGGCTTCGGCGTGCCCCCGAGAGCGTTTCCGTTTCCCCTTATCCCTCGTTGTCCGTTCTCTTTGATATCTCTTCTGCTTTTGGGTGTCTTGCGTCTCGCGTGCCACATCCTTCTCTTTTCTCTCCACCTCCCGCCTCCCCGCTGCGTCATTTTCCCTCATTCCTCCACCTCGTCTCTCCCTCACGTCTTCCTCTCTCCGCCTCCCTCGTGCTGTTTCGGCTCCTCCATCCCTCATACCCATCTCTCCGTCACCCCCTCCGCCTCCCCCGCCCAGCATCCTGCACCACCATGTGGTAAGAGACCCAGCTTGACAAACAAGGGGAATACCTCAAACCCTTTTTTCAACGTCCTCCACGCCTTTGTTTCCTCCTGTCCCAGAATTTGGCGTGCCCCCGAGTGCGTTTCCGCTTCCCCCCCAGCACTCGCCGTCCCTTCTCTTTGATCACTATTTCTTGCTCTTGGTTCTCCTGCGCCTCACGTTTCACATCCACCTCGTTTCTCTCGTCTTCTCTCCTCCCCCCTGTGTCGTTTTCCTTCCTACCTCTTCTTCGTCTCTCCGTCGCGCCTTCCTCTCTCAGCCTCCCTCATGCGTTTCCGTCTTCCACACCCTTCCTTGTTTGTTCTCCCGGACCTCTCCCTTTCTCTCGGTTCTCCTGCGACTCCCTTTATTCGTCCTCATTCCACTCCCACGTCCTTCTCCCCGCTGCGTCCGTTTCATCTTCCCTCCTCTTCGTTTCTCAGTCACGCCTGGTTGTTCAAGTAGTTTGACCTCTCGAGCGCTTACCCGTAGCTCTTGGGGGACTCGTGGAGGCCTCTTGGGGCGATCTTGGGTTCTCTTGGGGGCCTCCAGAGCCGCCTTGGGAAAACAAGAATTTCCCCACGTTCTTGTTTTCATGGTCGACCCCCCTCATCTGTTCTCTCCTGTCCCAGGTTTCTGCGTGCCCCCGAGTGCCTTACTGTTTCCCTCATCCCTCGTTGTCTGTTCTCTTTGCTCTCTGGCTCTATCTCTCCTGCTCTTCGGTTTCTTGCGCCTCACTTTCTACATCTTTCTCCTTCCCCTCCGCCTCCCTCCTCCCCGCTAAGTCGTGTTCTCTCCTCCCTCCACATCGTGTCTCCTTCACGCCTTCTTCTTTCCCCCTCACTCATGCGTGTCCGCCTCCCCGCTCCCTCATCCTCATCTCTCCTTCACTTATTCTTCCCTCCGCCGCCCTCACCCAGCATCTTGCCCCACTCAGTGCTGGGGGCCCAGCTTGCAAAGGAAAGGATCCCCCCTCAATGTTTGTTTCAAGGCCCTCCCCCTTTGTTTCCTCCAGTCCCAGGCTTTGGCGTGCCCCCGAGAGCGTTTCCGTTTTCCCCATTATTCGTTGCCCGTTGTCTTTGATAGTTTGTGTTATTCTTGTTGGTTCTCCTGCGCCTCCCGTTCCACATCCACCTCCGTTTTTTTCTTGTTATCTCTTCCCCGTTGCGCCAGATTCTCTCCTTCATCTTCCTCGTCTCTCCTTCATGTCTTCGTCTCTCCCCCTCCCTCCTGCGTTTCTGTGTCCCCCACCCCTCGCTGTTCGTTTTCCTCGATCTATCCCTTGTTCTTGGTTCTCCTGCGTATCTCGTTCCACGTCCTCCTCGCTCTCCCGCCCCCCCCCCTTGCTTCCTCTTGTCCCAGGCTTTGGCGTGCGTGCCCCAGAGCGTGTTTCCGTTTTCCCCATCCCACGCTGTTTGTCTCCGTTTGTTTCTTTCCCGTTGCGTCAGTTTCTCTTTCCCCTCCCCATCGTCTCTCCTTTACGCCTTCCTCTCTCCGCCTCCCTCATGCTGTTTCGGCTTCCCAACGCTGCAGCACGGCCCAAGAGGTCCCCAAGACAGCACCAAGACAGCCCATGAGATCCCCGCGACGGCCCGAATACGACGAAAGAGAGCGCCAAGACGGCCCCAGATGCCGTCATGACGGTCCAAGAGGCCCTCAAGACGGCCCCAAGACGGGGGCAATAGCGGGGATCCAAACCGACATTTCGAGCCCAGATGCCATGAGCCCAGGTGAGGCCCCCGAAGCGCCCCCAACACATCCTAAGAGGCCACCAGGAGAGCCCAAAGCAAAACCCGAGATGCACGACCCCCCCAACCCCCCAAGAGCCTGCAAAAACGTCTCCCAAAGGCATCCAACAATACTCCCAGCATGGTCTTGCCAGGCTCTCAGGGGTTCTCGGGCATCCGCCTGAGCCTGCCCTGTGTCCTTCTTTTGGACGCCTTGCGCAACTTCTTGGAGCGCTTATTCATCGTCTCCTGAAGCCTCCACCAGGAAGTACGCTCCCATATGGTGACCCTTGCCGGATGATGTCCATCCTCATCCGATCTTGTGAGGTTGGCTAGGACTGCGCTAGAACCTAATCGCGCGCGAAGCGCGCGCGTGGTTCTAATATCTGTATATGTCATGTGTAGATATATATATATATATGTATGTATATGTATATATAAACAGGCATACATAATGTTTATCAGCGGCGCAATGCTGGGCCCGTCCACGGGCGGTGGAGATGCGCGGACATCGTCGCCCCTCTTCTCCCAGCGAGGTGCGCGTTGCTCCCGACGCCCTCCCGGCGCGGCGTCTCGCCCCCAGCGGGGGCGGGCCCGGAGCCCGAAGGGAACTGCGCATGCCCGCAGCAAGGGCTCATCGCCGATTTATCGGGGGCCTGTCGCGGATTCGCCGCCGATTCATCGTCGACGCATCGCCGATTCCATGTCGATATCCCACCCTGTACGGCGGCGATCGAGGGATCGAGGAGGCGCTATGAGAAGCGGCGGGCTTCTTCAGGAGGCTCAGAACCCCCCTCTGGCTGTTTTTGAGAAATTGTCCGAGCCTTCCCCGCATACCGAATACCTTTGCAGGAGGCGCGAAGGCTTCTGAGAAGCCCCGCTGCCTTTGAGAGGGTTTTGTCCTCATCTCCCCCTTAGCTCGCCGCTGGCATGGGGGGCGAATGG